TTTGACATGGTATCAGAGCCTCCCACTATTTATCTCTGAGTTCAGCTTCGGTCTGCATGGGATCTTCTTTTCGAGTGACATTCTTCTTCTTCTCCTGGTATCGGCTGGTGTTTTTCTTTTGCTGGGTATTCTCTGCTTGTCCGTTTCTCTGCTAGGTCTATTCGCTTGACCTTCATTGTGGTTGGCTTCTTCTCTGGGTTTTTTTTAGTTTTTTCTACGTGTCGGTATTGCGGCATCGGGGGTGGCTGCTTCTCTCGGGTTTTGTTACATTCTCTGCTTCTTTTAGGTCTTGTTATTTTCGTGCTCGGGTTATTTCTGGGTGTTTATTTCTGTCCAAATACGGAGGGTCTGAAGAGTGATGCTATCTCGGTTCGCTTTACTGGTAAGAACTACGCACTCTGGGCTTTCAATTTAAGATGCATGTTTAAGGTCGACCTTTGTTACCTTTTCTGGATGGTTCGGGCAAGGAGCCTGTGGATGATGCCACGCCCAAAGAGAAGGAAGATTGGGCTGCATCCAATGTAGGGGTTATGTCGTTATTACTTGGCACGATGGATTCGGGTACTGCGTTGAGTTGGCAGGATTTTTCGACAGCTGCTGGGATGTGGCAACATCTCGCCAATTTGTACTCTAAGCCTAGTGCTTCTCGCAAGTTTGATGTGGAGTGTGATCTTGGTATATTGACTCAAGGGGATTCATATATTATCTCTTACTATCACGCTGATGTGACCTTATAGACTGAGCACGATCACTTGACCAGCTCGTTTCTGTCTGGTGCGACATCCACTAAGGTTATTCGTGAGTGTACTAGCACACGGATTATACGCTTTTCAATGAATCTGTGGCCTGAGTTCGAGGGGATACGGGCCTCTCTACTTCATCCTAATGTGGAGACTTTGGATAAGATTCTTGGAGAGCTTCTTTGTGAAGAAACTCGTCTGGGTATTCAAGCGAAATTGGACATCCATGCTTGCGATTCTACTACTGCCTTTGCGGTTCAGAGAGGGAAACCTCCACTTTAGCGTATTGCGAAGGGTGAGATTATCTGCCATTACTGTAAGGAACCTGGCCACATTTAATAACACTATAAGAAGAGGAACATGCGCAACTACTGTAAGCAGGAGGGTCACCTGATTGGCGATTACCCCAAGAAGAAGAATATGTGTACCTACTGTAAATAGGAAGGTCATGTCATTGCTGCTTGTCCTACAGTGGCTCGATGTGGCCATTCCCGACTTGATGGATCTCAAGGGGGCTCAGCCCCTGGTGCGGCGTATGCTACCACCATGTTTGTGGGCGCGAATTCCTCGACCTTGACGCTTGCTGATGTTGGTCGCTTGGTGCAGGAGGCCTTAAAGGAAGCACTACCCACTGCTCTTACTTCTGCCTTTGTTACGGGTACGACCTCCTCCTCTTCTTCCTGGCACGTTGATTCACTTTTATATAGTCATATGACGAGTTCTCGTCCTACTTTTGCACACTTGATACATAAGTTCCTAGTCTTGCTCTACAAGCTGCGAATGGATCTGTTATGCCTGTTCACGGGGTTGGGCATATAGCTCGACCGAGTATTTCCCTTCCGAATACGTTATATTTTCCTAAGCTTGTGCCCAATCTTGTTTCTCTGGGTCAACTAGCTGAGGATGGATGTCGGGATATCTTTGACAATGCTAGATGTATTGTGCAGGACACGACAACGGGGACGGAGCTCGGGAGAGGCAGTAAAAGGGGTCGCTCATACCTGCTAGATTCCTATTCTCCAACAAGTGTTCGTGCGCTTCAGGATGCGGACAGGGGAAGCTTGGCAAGGGATACCGAGCTGCTGCCAGGAGTAGTGCATTTGGTGTTAGTAGTGATAGTTTGGTTTATGCAGTGCAGTTGTCTGATTGGGATTTGTGGCACCTTAGATTGGGTCATCCAAATTCTCCTAGACTTCGTACGATGTAGTATGTTTCATAATAAGTCGTTGTCTGGTTCCCCTTTGACTAATTCGGATCATGATTGTTTCATTGTTTGCAAGCAAAGATGACACAACATTCTTTTCAATTGAGCACGACTGTTTATTGTGAACCATTTGATCTTGTTCATAATGATCTATGGGGTCTGTCTCCTGTTAGTTCTCATCTGGGGTATCGCTACTTTGCGCTGTTTGTGGATCATGCTACCTCCTTTACGTGGGTCTTTTTTCTTCTTTGGAAATCGGAAATGCTAACCGTTGCTTAGGATTTTCTTGCCATGATTTCGACTTAGTTTAATCGGGTGGTTAAGATACTTCGTTCTAATCCATGTGGAGAGTTTACCTTGAATCCTTTGCAGAGTCTTCTAAGAGAACGAGGCATTATTTCTCAGCAGTCCTGTTCTGGAGTCTCACAACGGAATGGGTTAGTAGAACGAAAACATCGGCATGTCCTTGAGTTAACTCGGGCTATTCTATTTCATTCACTGGTGCCTTCTGTTTTTTGGCGTGAGGTAGTTCATACTACAGTTTACTTAATTAATCGATAGATCACTTTGGTACTTCAACAGCGGAGTCCATATCAGGCGTTGTATTCTCGCGTTCCAAACTACGGTTGGTTGCGTGTATTGGGGTGTGTATGTTATGTTTTATTGACTCGACGAGAGTGCACCAGGATTACTCCAAAATCGGTTTAATGTGTTTTTCTGGGCTATTCGGAGAAACATAAAGGCTATGTGTGCTATGGCGTTGCTGCTCGTAGTGTTCGTAGGTCCCGGCATGGTTTTTCTTGAAAACAAGTTGTAATACAGCGGGTTTGAGTCTACGGCAGCACCTCCTGATTTAGATTTCTTACTTCCGTTGGAGTTTACTCTTCCCGAGCCCGCTCTCAAAGTGGATCCCCCCGGGTCCCACTCTATCTTCGTTTACAACCATGGACACGGGTCCGAGTTCAACTTTGGGTTCCTCCTCTTCTTCGTCCTCATCGTCCGGTGATAGCCATGGTCTTTCTCTGTCAATGCCGAGCTCCAACACTGAGTCCTCCTCCCCTAGCTCACGCTCTGGCATAGATTCCTCCTCTCTTAGCTCTCACACCAGCTCAAGCTCTTCCACGACTTCGGCCTCCACTTCTGCTGCGTCATCTCATCAAAACATAGTGGACGATGTCCCACAATTGCGTCGCTCCAATCGCTCTAACAAAGGTCAGCCACCTCCGCATTATTCTGACTTTTTTTGCCTTTTATACTCATGCCACTGTTGTTCTCGCAACATACAAACATGCGAAGGGCAAGGCGGAGTGGGATAACGCTATGGTGATTGAAACAGAGGCACTCAAAACTACACATACATGGGACTTAGTACCATGTTTTCCCGAGTATTCCGTGATCGATTATCATTTGGATGTTTACTGTGAAGATGAATCCTGATGGTACGGTGGAATGGTTTAAGGATCGGTTAGTGGCGCAGGGTTTTCATCAAGAGTGAGACATTGACTATGCTAAGACTTTTGCCCCAATTGCAAAAATGCAAACTGTACGGAGCTTGTTGGCTGTTGCTGCAATGAAGAACTGGTCATTGATTCAGCTGGACGTGAAGAATGCATTTCTTCACGGGGATCTCAAGGAAGAAATATACATGGAACTTCCTCCTGGTTATACGAAGGGTGACAGTTCTATGGTATGTCGTCTGCGTTGGTCTCTATATGGGTTAAAACAGGCTCCCCGGGCGTGGTTTCAAAAATTTCACGAGACCATTATTCAAGCTGGTTTTCGTCAAAGTGATAGTGATCCTTCGTTATTTCTGAGGTCTACAGCGCACGGGTTGACGATGCTTTTGATCTATGTTGATGACATGGTGGATAGCAGGGACAATGTCGAGGGTATTCGTGAAGTTACTCAGTCTCTACGATCTGCATTTAACTTGAAAGAGCTGGGTGGTTTGTCTTACTTTCTCGATTTGGAAATTCATCGCTCTTCTGCAGGGATTCATGTTGGACAGCATAAATATGTGATCGATCTTCTTGAAGAGGCTCATATGGATGATTGTGTTTCTTGTGCTACTCCGATGGAACAAAATCTTAAGCTTCGCCAGGGCGATGGAGAACTATTATCCAATGGTTCTCTCCATCGTAGCATTGTAGGAAGCTTAATCTATTAGACTCACACAAGACCGGATGTTGCAAGTTGTGAGTCAATTCATGTCAGCTCCTTGGACGACTCACTGGTATGCAGTACAACGTATTCTCCGTTACCTTTGCGGTAGTCCCGATGTTGGATTATTATTTTCAACAGGGGGCGAGCCCGTCATGGAAGCATATGTCGATGTTGATTATGCTGAATGTCTTGATACACGACGTTTGGACTTCTGGTTTATGTATTAATGTGGACAGTTTATTTATTTCATGGAGGTGGAAGAAGCAGGACCGTGTTTCCAAGTCATCTACTGAGGCCGAGTATCGTTCCATGAGTAATGTAGCATCCGAGATCACCTGGTTGCTACGTCTGCTTGCTGAATGGGGTGTGGTTATTCAGCCACCAGTTTGATTTTATGTGGACAACACAAGCGCGATTCGTATTGCCACAAATCCAGTTTTGCACGATTGGACTAAGTATATTGAGGTCCATATACACTATATTCGACCGCTTGTGACTGATGGAACTGTGGAGCTCGCATATATTACTTTTGAAGATTAGACAGCTGATTTGTTGACTCTGGCAGTGTCCTCTACACGTCATTGGTTTCTAACACACAAATTGATGTTGCGAAAGCAGCATCAATTTGTGGGAGGGTGTTAGAAGTTAGAGGTACTATTATGTAATTAACCCTTTTTAGGGTTATACTCATCCAAGTATATATGTGGTGAATGGCCGAGATTATTGATGTATTCTGTATGTGAGAAATAACAAAAACTCTGCCTTGTGCCGTGGACTAGTCTCAACTTAAATCGTTAAGAAAACCACGTAAATCTTGTGTTCTGTGGTCATGCTTTTACATATTTGATCGTGATTTTGACGGTTGTCATAGGCAATCACATCTCCAACCTTTACTAACAGCTCGTGGTATTGTTGTAGCTTGTTTTGTTCGCATCCACGAATGCAAAATCGAACAATTTCTCGTCCTGATTAGACGATATGAACATATAGAGAAAGTTACACATCTTTTATCTAATTCAATTTGAATGACATTTTAAATAAAAAATTATGATAGTTTTTACAACCATGAAACAATAATTTATATAACATTAGTTCCTTATAGTCCTAGACACATCATAACCCAATTATTTGATTAACGTGACCCAAATGACCCACGACCTCGTAATCCATACGATGTGTTACCCATTCAACTTCTCGTTAAAAAAAATGATATTAATCAAGCTCACCCATTTTGTAGCATACTTTTGTAACAAACTTACATGGTTGGTGGTGGCTAGGAGCAATTGGTTCAAAGCCGGAGTGGCGGGGGACTCGATGAAGTTGATTTTATGCGCCAAGCCTGCATCCTTGATGTACGGCAGACCCACTTCGTAATGGTCTCTACTAATGTCAATGGCAGTTAACTGCGCACACAGAGGTAATTAATATACACAATTTAGCTCCTAGATCATCATCAATGTAGAAAGGGGGTATTTTATTAAATAACCAGGCCATCGTTGGGCATGGCTAGGGCAGTGGAGAAGAGGGAGTAGCCAGTGAAAACACCAATCTCTAGCATCCTTTTGGGGTTCAATATCTCCATGAACAGCGACAGGAACCTCCCTTCATCTACGGGTACCGTCGTTTCTGCCCTACAACATCAACATTCAAGTTCGACCAACATTGGATTTCTATTGGAAAGGGGGGAAATGGAGTATAGACACACGTCTTTTTGGAAAATAGGATGTATACTACTTACAAGTTACCGTATTTTACGATAGTGGCTTCCCATATTTTCTTCAGTTGCTCATGTTCTCTTGGATATACGCTCGTTCCATATATGTATCGGTTCAGTTCAACACACATTGACCATTTATAAATTTAGTATATTGCACGAAAAGAATGTACATATATAATATAAACATCATCTACGAAAATTAAATTCTATCAGTATGGTCATAGCTCGTTAGGGTTTTTGGCCTTCTATAAGGCCAATAACTACTTTCACATGGTGAATTGTCGGTCTCGTGGTAGTTGATTGAGTTCAATATTTCAAGGCTTACCAACCAGCACACAGGCTTTTGGAGCTTAAGTAGTGCGAGATGATGCATGAAATCATAACAGGGTTACTTAATTAAGAGAGTAAAAACAAACTGCATAAATGTATACCTGGGTAAGAGCAGGGCTTTGGAGGATTCCTTTATGCGGTAAATCCATAGTTTATTTTGAAGGGCTTAACTACGAATCTACACATAATATAATACACCTAAGGGAAAAACGGGAGCCCCATTTCAAATTTCCTGCAACGAGAGTGAAAGTAGGAAGGACATTTTGGTCTTCACAATTACTTTTTTTATTCATTAAAAAGACACGTACTGGGATTCGAACCATGACAATTTTAAAGAAAAGCAAGGATCATAACCAATCACAATAAGTACATTTGTTGTATCTTTTTAAATTAAAAACATATAATAGCAGGGAGGAAAAAACCCTTCCCCCATTTCAAATTCCCTGTTCCAGGAGCGTTTGTAAGAAGGGTAGAATAGGGAGTGTCAATTTTTTTCTCTTTTCTCTGTGGAACGGGCCAACTTACCGTACACAGGCGGATTTAAACGGGTCCAGGAGTGTCAATTTTTTTCTTTAAGCTCTTTTATTTCTCCCTGGTGATAAAATATATATGAAAAGGCAAAAACAATACTCATTTTTATTGCTAAAAATAAAAAATTTAACAATAAACTAATGCATGGTATCTAATGGGCTAACCGCTAACCATAAAATAAAAGAGTTGAATGGGTCTGACCTACACGAGATTTGGCCATCAAGTAAAACAAATGAACATCATTGGTTTGTCATTCTAAAACAAGATATTTTCTCTGGCATAATATAAATTATGCTATTATTTTATATCTTAGTGGCTAAAATATAATGTATTTTAAAGTTATTCAATGGTTCAACCTCGACCAACCCAATTAGTCCAATTTTTATCATTTCAAATAGGAATGGCAATGGGGCAGGTCCGGGGCGGGTATCTCGATACCCATACCCGCCCCATGGCAGGACGGGTCCAGGTTGGGTAATTTATCACGGGGTGCGGGTAGGGGCAGGTCGACCCGTTGGGTATGTAATTATGCGAAAAACATTAAAAACATTCGTTATTTTCATTAAAAGACCAAGAAAGAAACCATAATATGATAAAATGTAGTTAAATTATTGAAGAAATTGAGGTTTTCACTTATTTACAACTTTATTATAGCTAAAATATAATGTAATAAGAGGAAAATCCTAAGTAATTTGACTAAGATTATATGTAATATAGGCAAGAACGGGTCGAGAATGGGGCGGGTTAGGGCAGGTCGGGTCGATGAGAGGTACCCATGCCCGCCCCGCCCCGCCTACTGTGCGGGTTTGACCTGCTCCAAAACAGGTCAAAGAGGACAGGTAAATCGGGTCAGGTCGAAATTGACATCCCTAATTTCAAATATATATTATATAATTATTTGATATCATAATGATCAAATTATAGTGTATTTTATAGGGAATCGTTTGTTATTTGTTAGTAAAAAACTAAACAGAACGATCTATTTGGTTATTTTAAACATTAAAACGATCCTAAACATTTTCAGTTTCTTTTGAATTTTTATGGTTTTATTCTCGAATAAGTGATGTGCAAATGGCGAATTGCAGTCATCTTTTTTCTTTCACTATTTTTTATTTTCAAATAGAAAGTTTAAAAGTAAAGAATAATTAGAATTTGGCATGGGTCGGTCAAACATGCTGAATTTCAAGTTTTAGCCCGTTTTGATCAAGTCTAATTTATAATCACATGGTTACCTGATACCCGATAAAAATCTCAATCCAAACCAGTTTGGCAGGTGAATCTGTGTTTACCACCATTTTCTAGAATACGACAACGGCGATTCCTATCCCAAATTGTGTTATTCATTCTTGATTTCCTTAGATTTTATCATGGCCTAACAAAAACCAAAAAGCACAATGACGACAAGATGAAAGTTTTATAAAGCAAATTAATCGACCAACGTGCCGAGTAAAAGCTAGCAACGATTGTGAGATGCTCATTTCCCGAAAACCGACGGGATAGGCAATTTTTTATTCGATTTTCTGGAATTCGGTTTCTATAAAATTTACTCCACCTCATCATATTACCAGAAACAATATTGTTTCACAAGGTAACATGTACTTGATTTTGGTTCATAAGGCCAATTTTTGACTCATTGAATCATTCATGTCTCTTTCCTGCTAAAATTCACTATTTTTATCACGAATTTCCAAAAAAAAAAACTATACAACAATAAGCTATACACCCCATTATATTATCAAATTTCATACCTCACCTTCCTCCGGCCAATTGGCCGGGGCCCACACTAGTATCTATAGATATTTGCAATAGGGAGTTTGTTTAAGAAGCTGAGGATCTTGAGCTATCTTATATAATGGGGTAAAATACCTCGGTACCACTTAAGTTTGAGAATTGGGGTAGACATACCACTTAAGTTTGAATAGGGCGTCGGGTACCATTAAAGTCGCCAAAATGTGCATCCGTCTACTTTTCCATCCAACTCAAAATTTCAATTACTTTTTGATACCCAAAAATTTTAAAAACATCCATAAATATATTTCAATAAGTTTTATCTAATATAATAATTAGAAAACCTTCTAAACGTATTATTACTAGAATGATTAATCAAATTTTGTTAATAAAACAGATAAACTAGTAAAAATAGTAAATAAATATCAAGAAGAATAATAAATATACTAGAATATAATAATAAATATATAAAATTAATATTAGAATATCAATTTAAACACCCTAATTCAATTAGAAGCACCATTAGAAATAATTAAAATAGAACCTAATTGATTATCAATACATCAAAATCAAAGAAGGATAACTGGAACACAATAAGAAAGACTTAAACATATTCCACTAATTGAAAAAATTTAGAACGAAAAGAAATGAAAAGTGACAAGGTAATAAATAAAATATAAAAGCTACAACATTCAGTAAAAAATATAGAAAAGAAATATGACTATAAAAGGTGCAACATTGTTTAGTTACAACATGCATGGAAGAATTAAATTATTAGAACACATAATGGTAATTGAAAATAATTATAATGATAATTGATTCTAAATTTTCTATTCAAAAATTGGTTTGGTATCAAGTATTCAAAAGAGAATTCTAACTAACCAATAAAAAATGATGTTTTTCATAACTCCAAATGATTTTTTTACAATAAAAAAGTAGAAGGACCAATTATGAAATTTAGAATATGGAATATTCCAAGAATATTCTGTCAACTTTAACGGAATGCACTTAGGAGTAAACTTAAGTGGTACCGGGTGCACATATAATAGAGTTCGATGGTACCCGACGCCCTATTCAAACTTAAGTGGTATGACGACCCCAATTCTCAAACTTAAGTGGCACCCGAGGTATTTTACCCTATATAATGGTTATAATCCGGCTGTTATGAGAATGGTACCCGGCGCCCTCTACTCTCTAACTCTCTTATCACTACAAAAAAGTAGCCTACAACAGTGGTTATAATCCGGCTGTTATGAGAATGGCTGCCGGGTTTCACTCCATACAATTTATGCAGCGGTTAAGGGGACCGCTTCGGAAAAAATCCCCAAATCCTTATATTTTTACCCGACCCAACTGATTTGGCCTACCTCCGGAATTATTTTTGTTTTCTTATGAAGCCGATCTCCAAAAATTGGTTTTCCATTCCCCCTTTTTTATGAACCTCCCAATTCGATTAAAAAAATTGGTCCCCGATTCCTTAATCTTTCTTTCCGAAATCGATTTCTTTCCTTTCTCCGCTCTCCAGCAAGAACCCTAACATCACCACGCGCACACGAGACCCCAATCCTCCGATTTCTTCTCGAACCTTTGCAGCTTGAAACCTAGATCTTTGCAAGCTCTGCTTCGACCCTCATCCAGTCACCTGCAATTCTGATGAACTCACTATCGCCGCCCATATCTCCTTCTTTCGTCTGGAGGTCTGACCTTCCGGAATCCTGGTTCGACTACTATTTACAGTCTCCTGGTTCCACATCTGTCTACGCTCGTCCACTAGTAAGAACTCGTGAATTGATTTCTTTCTCTCTTAATTGACTTGGGTTTATGGTGAGCTCTCTCTGTGTTATGCAATCTTCTTCTAGCATGAAGGAGACAGAGTCGGCAAGCAATTGAAACTTCAGTTTTGAGGACGAGATGAACTTTGTGCTTGCTGTATTCATTGAGGAGAAGCAAGATGTGGATCAATCTCAATTAAAGTCATCAGGCCCTGTAAGAGGTAATTAGAGTTTGGTATTTGTGATGCCTAGGTTATTGAATCCATATCAATTAGAAGTACCTATCAATGATTAAAATTGGGCATGAATCTCTTTATTCATCTGTTAATTTTGCTTTGGAAAGTGAATAAATTAATTTTTGTGACTCTAGAATGAGAAGGGTAGTAGTTGGAAATAATGGTGGAAATGGCAAGCTTGAACTTAAACTTATGTTGGTGGACAAAAACATGTAATATGATAAGGTCTATGATGAATCAAGCTTGTGATGGTAAATCAAGAGCACAAGCAAGAACACTACACAGTCTGTTGTTTGTTATCTCAATAGCTTGACTGTGGTGCAAAGAGGCACAAGTGTTGAAGTGTCTTACTTATTATCTTTTCATACAATGTTATACTTCTTTTTGTTTTGGGTTAACAGGATGGGAAAACACTACCCACTGGACCAGCTGTTATTTTGCCATATGGATTATTTCCGTTAGTCTATCTTGAAGGTGAAGTCTTATTTCTTCCCGTGCAGCTACTTATATGGTTCTAAGTTCATTTTGCAAACCATAAATCTTGAGATAACTTGTCCAATTGCATCTTGGATACGAAGACTGCTTGCTGACCAATATGCAACTTGTATAATATGTCCATGATATAATGAAGTTGTGAGAGAAATTCTTATTAGCTATGTAATTTGACCTTCGCATCTATGTGCCTTTACCACTCCATAATAGGTGAGTTCCTAACAACGACTATACCTTCTTTGTTTCCAGTCAACAGTCATAAGGCTGGCTGCACATGAGGTTAAGATTGTTTGTTTAGAGGTAAGCGCAAAACTTTCTTTGCAACCTGGAACAGTACCCTGCTTAAACTGAAGGATGTTCAAGATATGTTTTCACTGCTGCTGAGTTGTT